GCCCGAACCCGAGTGCTCTGGGAGGAAAGCCTTCTTCCTGCTGTTCTTGCATTAACGTGCACCTGAACTGAGAAGCTGCTGGTGGTTTTTTGTTGTGTGGTTGTTTTTTTTTTTGTTTGGGGTTTCGGTTTTCTTTTTTTTATTTTTTTTGCTAACTAAATCCCTGGAGGTTTCTCTAACAGGAAGGCCAAAACGTCTCTAGATTTGGGAGCGGGATGGGGGTGGTAGGTGTGATGTCTTTTTTTTTTTTTTTTTTTTTTAAACAGTACAGAATTACTGTTTTGGTTCCGCTTGCAAGTTTCTGATAACAAAAAGCCTCTTGGTGAGAGCAACGTAGATAAAAAAGCAACTGCAAAAGCTGCTGTAATAAAGATAGTATGTTGTAATTACACTCCAGGAGTATATGTGTGGGTACTCTGCCAAAGAAGCCAAAGATGCACGTGCCTATGAAAGTTAACGTCTATAGTGTAAATTCTAGTTAGTACTGTCTTAAGGATGGGCAAAGCTTTTATGGGGAGAGACTTTTCACTACTGTTTAATGGTTCTAAAAAAACCATGTTTGAATAATGACTATAAAAGCTACTGGATTGTAAATTTCACACTTTAGTTTGATAAATGTTGATAAAACTACAGGAGTAATGTATCTTCCTAGTCTGGGCGTGTCACTGTATGTCAGTTCTAACCCAGTAATCACACGAGGCCTTCTTTTAATGACACTGTTAAAATTACCATCTGAATTCCAGATTTGCAAAGGAAAGCTGTTTGCTACTGAAAGTCTAAAGCTCTTCATTTCTCTTCCTAAACTGCATATGTAGTGGCTTTTGGGATGGGGCTGGATTTCTTTTCCTGTTTTTCACTATCAGTTTTTAATTCTATGTATAATCTAATTAAACTGCTTATTTCTTTGACTCTACTATTCTAATTTTCGGCCACAGGTGACAGTGAACATCCTCAGTGTTTTTGCTGTTTGATAATGATGCTAGCGTGTTCAGTTATGTCGTGTCTAATAGTTTTTAGACTAGCTGAGTTACTGGCGCTGCTGTTATTCTGCCTTACTGTGGGAGCCCATAGTTTGATGACCTGGCTATAGCTTTCTTTCAGTTTGAGGTACTGGAGGCTTTCCACTTATTTAAATGAATAATTAAAACTATATTTCCTTCAAGATTGTCAGGCATTACCACCATAATGTCACTGTCTAGCTTCACTTAATACAGAGGTTGGTCTCACTGTGGCATTGGCACTCTGTGTTCAGCAGATATAGCAGTGGAAGGGAGTCAGGGTAGCTTTTATCCTGAAAACAGACCCATGTTAACTGGAAGTTCCAAAGGTGTATGTCTGCTATTAGGGAATATCTTAAAACAGGGAAAATACTCAGAATTAAAACTGGTGCAGGTCTGAGGTTTTTAAACGGTATCTAAAATTAGAAGGACTTAAAATAAGATACCTTTAACAACCAAAAATTAATTTAGAAACATCTACAAGGAAGTATTCCAAACAGTTCAGTGGTGGCATGTAATTCTTGTTTAGTTTCAGCTTGGAATCTCTGGTCCCACCAGAACAAAGATCTTCTCTGTGATTAGTGTGTTCATTGCAGTTAGTAAAGCAGTATCAGTATCTATACCTGAGAGCTTAGTGATTGAGTGAGCTTATGCGCGCTTAACTTCTGAGGCTTCTAAAAAAGCTTATTCAAAGAACTGTTTCAGTTTACTTATCAAAACAAGATATACCACCTTTCTTTTCCTGGTTTCCCTAGCTGTAATATAAGGGCATTTGCTGTTTGTAAAGGCTAAGAGCAGTACTGTGAAAACTTGTATTTCAGGTCCGAAGACAATTGTATGAAGTTAGTATTAAGCAATCGACTCTCTCTTTGCTTCATGAGTAATTCTGTTCATTACAACAGGCTGTTATGAAGGTCAACCATCTCTACTGAAGAGCTCTGAGACCAAACTAGTAATGATATAGTTAAATTCTATGGTTAGACTAAATAACTTGAAGCTGCATGTATTTATCATTACACCTCTTCTCATAGATCCGTGTAACATGTTTTTTTCTTTAACTTCAAGTACTGCAAGAGAATAAAGAGGGAATACAAATTTGGTAGCTTTGCAGATCAAGAAAGGAAATGTAAGCACAAAGCTCTGCTGCGGGAAACTGAAACTTCAGCTATTGCATCTTCTAGTCAGTTGTTACTTCAGCAGGAGATTGTTCTGATCCCCATAGCTATCCTTGTAGTATGGCTCTGAGAGGTTTGAGCACTGTTGGCATGAAATAGTTCTTTGATTCAGGCAGATTAAAATCTCGTCTTGGCAATTGAGTTTTTTAACAGCTGGACCATCAAGATTTCTAACTACAGTTGTTGCTTGCTAAATACTACTTGAATTAGTTTTTATTCCTAAAAGATGAGCAATTAAACTATTACACTTTGCCTGACAAAACTGTTTCTTTACATTTTATCTCTCAGCTTTTTCCCTTTTACAGGTCGATTAGCCTTTAAAAAAACCCAGCCTCTTAATTTCTAGCTCTGAATTAACTCAATAGTTAACTACAAGACTGGCAAAAGATAGCTGAAGATGTGGATGTGATGATTCAGATCGTTTCTGTCCTTAGACAGGTTAGCATGTGGTTGTGTAGCAGAAGCATGACTACTGTATTTCATCTGTACCAAATAGTATTCATTTGGGGCTTTTCAGCAAGCCATGATCTGAGGACTGGATGCCTTGGCATAGTGTTTAAGAG